ATTGGTTTACATTTGTTAATCGTTGTACAGCCCATAATAAAAATAATAATATAAACTTACAACGGCATAAAACATAAACAAGGTGTCTGAAAGAAGATCGCAAGAATCTTGTCGTCAGAACCTTAAAAAAACATTTAACAAATATAAGATGGAAAAAAAAAATTAATAAACTTTTACAAAATTGCAATGCAAACAATCTAACATATAAAATATAAAGTAAAAAATATAAGAACAATGAATAAAATAAGTAGGAATAAACTTCTAAAAACAAAAAAATATATATATATATATTTTTAACTTTTAATACTCACAATAACATAATATATTATCTAATGAAAAATTGAGGTTTTTTATTTTTTGTTAAAAAGGCAAAAAGTAATAGGTACTTCAAAAATAAAATACGCCAAAACAATTTTATTCCAAAGGTGTGGCGCTCGATAGGTAATACAAAATTGATTAAAGTTTGTTTGACAGAAAGGCTCATTTAAAAAGTTATTATTTCTCAAAATATATTTACTGACAGGTTTAAAAGAGAAAAGATCTTTGAATACGGCTTGGGATAAGTTATTTATCCTGATATACACAAAACATAAAATATTAAATACATTTAACTCGTAAATATTAAGCGATTTAGCAAAATTGCAATCGCTTATATTTAGCAATATAAGCGATTTGCAAAATTGATTAAACGGATTGCACGTTTCTGACGGAGATAAAAACGTTGCAAATTACTTTTTTCTGTACTTCCCCAAGCAATATTGGCATAATTTAGATAACTATGTATAAATGAATAATAAAGTTGGATTAAGACTTTCTTATTGAGATAGATTCGTAATTTATATAGGATGCCCATGTTTTTAGAAATTTTAATCAATATGGTGATTCCAAGTAATGTTTTTATCAAGATAAACACCTAAAAATTTTGTAACAAAATCTCTTTTTATTTCCTTTTGCTCGATAAAGATTTGAGGTAATTTTGATGGGAGAAATTGCTTTTTTGTAATCGAATGAAATAAAACCCATTTTGTTTTATTAGTATTTAAGGTTAACTTATTACACTTGAACCAATTAGATATATGTCTGAGTTCTTTGTTCACTGTTTTAAAAAGTTCATCGATATCATAGTTAGAAAGGAATAAATTTGTATCATCTGCATACATAATGCTTGTTAGTTTTGAAGCTTTATTCAAGTCATTTATATGAATTAAAAAAAGGAGAGGTCCAAGAATTGAACCTTGTGGGACTCCACAGACTATATTAAGAAAAGAGGGTTTGTAATCATTGTTAAATGGTACAAATTACTTTCGGTTAGATAGATAAAATTTTAAACCATTTTAAAAATTTATTTTTTATTCCGTAGTATTTGAGTTTATAATTTAAAATATGGTGATCGACCGTATTAAAAGCTTTTGATAGGTCAATAATTATTCCTAGTGTATATTGTGATTTTTCGAATGATTTTGAGATTTCACATTGGCTAATTGCATGTTCAGTTGAGTTATTTTTCTTGAAACCAAATTGATTGATGTAAAGTAGATTATTATCATAAAAATATTTGTATATTCTGTTAAACATAATTTTTTCTAAAATTTTCGAAAATGTGGAGAGAACAGAGATAGGGCAATAATTACTGATTTCAGATTTGTCCCCTTCTTTAAAAATAGGAATAATTTTTGCAATTTTTAATTGTTCTGGGAATACAATATAATTCTATCTTGATGAATAGAAGCCCTAAAGATTTTAAAAAGAACAACTTTAAGTTGTTCAAAGCAATCTAAAACCAAGTTTCCATTAATTTGATCTGCTCCAATTGCTTTATTTTTTTAAACAGATTTAAAGGCTCTTTTAAACTCATCAAACATTAATTCGGAAGATAACTCATCCAGGGGTTCTAGATAGTCAGTAAACAAAGATTTGGTCTGAGGGATTTTTCAGACAGTGTTGGTCCTATATGAGTAAAATATTTGTTAAATTATTGAGCTATAGTTTTTGGTTCATATATACTTTTGTTATCAACTCTAACCATTTGTGGGAGAAAACCGGAGCATGGTTTATTTTTGCCAATAATTTCTTTCATTATTTGCTACGTGTGCTTTGTGTCGTTTTTAAATGTATTGAATAATTGGGAGTAATAATTTTTCTTTAAATTTTTGCAAATTTTTTCAAATAGGTTTTTGTAGTTCTTATAGATTTTTTCGCTTGAAGCTGTTTTTGTTTTTAAAAAGTTTATGTATAACTTTTGTTTTATTCTGGATGATTTTTTAAAACCTTTAGTTATCCAGGGTGTATTGATATTCTTAGTTGTTATTGTTTTTTCTACTATTGGGAAATTAACTTCATATACAGAAAAAAATGTTTTGAAAAAAGTGATGTTTTTCCAATGCAGTCATGATATTTGTTTTTTAAATAATTTAATATTAGCCTCACTATAAATGCGTAGCGGTTTTATAGTGGTTCGACCAGATAAATTGCTAACTACATAAGCTAGTGACTAGTTAGCAACAACAAAAGTTTATAAAGACAGCCATTTGACAACAAAGATTGCTAGCTACATATTATACTACCACATCTTTAAACATCTAATATTGACAATGCTGTTGAGTATTAGCATTTTGATTGGTTTATGCTTATCGAAACTACTTTGCACTGCCAACGTTTGGTGAACTTTACTTACGGTAAAAACTTATTATAAAAACAGTTACTTTAATCTTAATTATTTACTTACCTTCTACTTGGGGTGGATGCAGCATTTTTTGATGTTTGAAACAGCTAATTTCTGGACATGGAGCTAACTTTTATATGTTTATACTTATGACAAATGAGGAAGATTTGCTAAAAATTGCGATAATTGGAACAAAATAGAAACTGTAAAAAAGAAAAATTTTAATTTCATAAAATAATCTCTTTTAGTTCAAAAAAAATATCTTTATCAAATTTGTAATCCTTTTAATTTAAGGAGAGGGGGGGGGGGGGGGGAGATCAAACTTTGAGATTATTGTTTGAATTTCAAAATTTATTAATGTCATTTTTTTAATATTTAAAACTAATTTTATATTCATTAATAATGAATATAAAATTAGTTTTAAATATTAAAACAGCTAATTTCTGGACATGGAGCTAACGTTTATATGTTTATACTTATGACAAATGAGGAAGATTTGCTAAAAATTGCGATAATTAGAACAAAATAGAAACTGTAAAATAGAAAAATTTTAACTTCATAAAATAATCTCTTTTAGTTCAAAAAAAATATCTTTATCAAAATTGTAATCCTTTCAAATTAAGGAGGGGGGGGGGGTCAAACTTTGAGATTATTGTTTGAATTTTAAAATTTGTTAATGTCATTTTTTTAATATTAAAAAGTAATTTTATATTCGTTAATAATGAATATAAAATTAGTTTTAAATATTAAAAAAATGGTATTTCATCAACATGTTGCTCTCACGTTTGAAGCAAGTGTTGCAAAAATAATAAAGCTTTTTTTGCTCAGGCTTCAATCATCGTAATTCTTAGAATTTACTTTACGTTCAGGCTTCAATCATCGTAATTCTTAGAATTTACTTTACGTTCAGGCTTCAATCATCGTAATTCTTAGAATTTACTTTACGTTCAGGCTTCAATCATCGCAATTTCTTAGAATTTACTTTACGTTCAGGCTTCAATCATCGTAATTCTTAGAATTTACTTTACGTTCAGGCTTCAATCATCGCAATTTCTTAGAATTTACTTTACGTTCAGGCTTCAATCATCGTAATTCTTAGAATTTACTTTACGTTCAGGCTTCAATCATCGTAATTTCCTACTAACCATTCTTATTTAATAAGAGTATAAAGATATACATTTTTTGATTTACATATGTTGATAAATGTCAAAACTCTTATCGAGTCTTTTACTTTACGTTCTTGGATTATTTCAAATCAAATCTATAAAATAAATCACTGCAAAATTCACTCTTTTGGTATTTTCTTAATATTGACTCAATACTTTACATCTATTTCTTAACTGTCTTTGTAAGGAACACTGTTTTCATATTTGACTAGTTTTTCTAATCAGGCCTTTTTCTCTTCTAGACAAGGTTCCAAAACACATTAACTCTTAACCTATTTATCGATGAGAGTTTAGAGTGAATTAGACTGAAATTTAGATTAAAAAAAAAAGTTATATTTGAAAAAATAAACAAATAGATGTATTCTAAGAAACGATTGTTTATATCAAGTGCAATTATTTTAACGCGTTTAGATTTAGCGGTGAAAAGACTACTTCTTTGAGTTTTAACGTTTTTAGTGTGTTTTTTTTTTACAATTTTATTTCAAAACAAACTTACATAAAGATTGTAATAAAGCACAATAAAAAAAAAAAAAAGAAAAAAAAAAAAGAAAATACAAATACAAATACATACAAACCTTCTCGAAATAAACTGCTTCTAGTAAAAAGATCAGCAGTCAGCGGTACTAGGTAAAATGCGAACTGCGAACCGCGAACTGGTAAAATGCGAACTTTTTTGCGAACCATGGTCTTATTGGTTGTTAATGATGTAATGTTTTATTTCCATTAAATAGTTCATTTAGCGGTATATTTTAAGGACTTTTAGACGCAAAAAGTAATTAAAGAATAAATAAAAGGAAATTAAGTGAAACTAGACAAATACAATATAGTTTTTTTTTTAATTATTTGATAGACTGTCTGCCCAGTCCAAACCCTCAGTCGATTTAGCAGTTCTCCATTGCGAGTCGGGCTATAAGGTAGTCGATGTAGCAACATTCCGCACATGTTTTACAGTTAAAAAATAAAATTTTTATATTAAATAAAGTTTTAAAATAGATAATTAAGAATTGGAGAGTTTTTTTATTATTAGTTTTATCATAACAATAATGGTCTTTAAAATTTAATGTTTTGGTTCGCAAAAAAGTTCGCATTTTACCGGTTCGTAGTTCGCGGTTCGCAGTTCGCATTTTACCGACAACCGCAGTCAACAGTTGTTTACTTTTTAAGTCAGTTTCCGTAAAGCATTCGTGATTAATTTACACGAAAGTCTAAAAGCCTGCGTTATTTTAAAAAAATGATTTGATGTCTAACAAAAGTTTTAAAGTTTACACTCAGTTTTAATAGTTCACATTCAGTAGAGTTTCAATTTTTGGTGCAGTTTAAAAAAAATGTATTATATAGCAAAACGAATCGAGTTTGGAATTTTATGCAAGATAAAGTATTGTTTGAGCAAACAAAATTATTTATCAACATCCATTACCTGCAATGCTGGTTCAAAATTCAGAAGAAAAATTGGGAAAGCAATAGATGGTAGTGCATTTGGGCCATTAACAGATCTACCAGATTGGACTTATGTAAACAAAAATGAACCACCAGTTGTAACAAAGCAGCAAAAGTTACGACAAATGAAGCAGGTTGCTATAGCTACAAGAATTAACAAGCTTTTAGAAGAAATTGAAATGCAAAAAAATAGAACTTTACTTAAAGAATCGAATGAAAAAGATAATATCTAAAGTTATTTTTAACATTTTGTATTATATTTTTTTACTCCTGTTATTCGATATGTTTTTAAACAAAATGTTTTGATAGCGATGTCAACAAATTTACAACTAGTTCAAATATAAAATGTCAAATTAGTACTTCTTTATAGTTAGCTATAATAAGTTATTTATTATGAAAAAAAGTTACTTTGACAGAAGATGGTTACCAGTTCATTTCATGAATTGTTATGCAATTTAATGATTAAATAGTTTAAAAAATTTAATTGATATTGGAAAATGAAAATCTATTTTAAAAAACTCTAAATCAAAATTTCTATTACAAATTTAAAAAGTAGTAGTTATTTTTAAAAGTATCTATATCATAAAATATATAAATAAAAAAAAAATGTAAAAATCTAATAATTCTAAGTTAATATAAGTTGTTTTATAACTGAAATGAAGTAATTATAGCTTAATAACATATTGCACTGTAAAAAAAAAAAAAGAAAATATATTTAGTAATGCATATTTATTTGATATGGTTCTGGTGTTCATAGTGCACGCTCTGTTTTGTAATGAAGCTTCAAACAGAGGATCAACACTGAAATACTGGGAAGCATATGCTCCTTTGACAAAAAATGTATGAATTTTGAATTTTATAGTTTTTTGAATATTTAATTACTGTAAATGTATATTTTTATTTTGGTATTAAAGTTATTAAAGTATATAGTGAAATAATTTTTCATAATTCTCATAATCATGATTTACAAAAAAAAAAAAAAAAATGTTCCTGCCAAAATTTATAATCCTTTCGTTAAAATTTGTCTTTAATTAAATTAGTAGTTAATTTTGATCAATATAATGTATATCAAATGTTGTTTGAGTTTAACTTAGATTTATAAGTAGTTATGTTAGGCACTTATGAAAACCTCATTTAAAAAATAAGTTTTTCTAAAAATAATTGTTTTTTAAAACAAATCGTAATTCTGATACCGTATAAAGTATAAAAATAAAAGTGGCCTCTGCAAAAATGGTGGTCTTTTTTTAATATTGCTCAATGCTGTGGAATTAATTACTATTAAAAAAGAACTAGTAATTCTAAGTGCTCAAACAATTTTTACTTAAGGAACCTTGTAATATTTTCATGTAATTTATTCATTTTGCAAAAGTCAGCTTTATATTAAACAACTATGTAATGGTTATGATAAGTTGATGGAATTTAGTGTCTTGGTGTAAAAAATACGGGTGCTTTAAAATTACATACTGTGGAACTGTTATGCGCGAGACCATTGTACTGCTTTGTATAAGTTGTGTCTGCTTTATAAAATATTGATAAAACATTTCTTTGAGTTTTTAGTGAAAGTAAAGCCTAATATTAAGTTTACACTCCATATTGTTATAGATAGTCTAAATGTATATGTCAAGTTTAAAAGACTTATAAAGTTGTTTGAGGAAATAGAAAAGTTTGTTACAAGTATAATAATTGGCACATGCCTCCTGCTTATTGTTCATTATGCATTTAGAGCATGAACTTATATTTTAAATTGTAAAATTAATTTATTTGCAATTGATATTGACATTTTTTTGTATAGCACAAAAAATTTAAATCATTGAAATTTATTAATATTGGCACAAAAACCAAATCTTATTTTTCAGAAGCTTTTGAAATCTAGTGAAAATTTTTTTTGGCAAAATTGTTTTTATTATAATACTTTTTACAACCTATTTATTATCAAAATTACCTTGGAAATAAGCTGTTGTAAAAATTTGTAATAATATACATAACAAATAGAAAATTTACCAAATGCAGTTCCTTCCAGAGGAGTTCTGAAGAATTAATTTTAATTAGATAAATAATTTCTGCTGTGAAAAGGCCTTTTAACTTGCTGCTCTTCTTGTTTGTTCACTTTCCCATGATTTTAAATTAAAAATATATTATTTAATTACATGCAAATACACTGTGCTTTACTTGATCCAGGTACAATTGAGATTTGCGGTTATTAATATTAATCAGTTACATTTCAATTTCAATGGTTGAAAATTTTTATTTTTCCAATCTAAGGTGCATAATGTTTGTGGCAAAAAGAAAGAACAAATATCATACCTTTTACACAAGGCAATGACATTTAAAGGCATAAAAAGGTCACCATCTACAGATCTGTTAAGTTTGCGCTATATGGAAGTATAGTTGTGTTGGACCAGTAATCACTAACAATATTTAATCTCTCTTAAATTGTAATATTTGTTTTCCTTTATCACTAGAACTTCTATTTTTATCTTAATTGAATTTTGATGGAAAAGTTTTTCTTAATATTTTTAAAGGAGTTTAAAAATTGTTTTTTACTTAAAGGACAAGTAAATCTCCTTGCCCATGATGTAGACAACTTATTCAAGAGAAGAAAAACTAATATAAAAACCCTAATTGTGTCTCTCCCTTGTGATATTTATATATCTATATACAATTTATATATATATATATATATATATATATATATATATATATATATATATATATATATATATATATATATATATATATATATATATATATATATATATATAAATTGTATATATATATATGTAAATTAGCCGACAAAAATAAGTACAACATATACCAACTTAAAAGGATTGCAAAATTAATTGGAAATAAACGGTCTCTGAAAGTCAATAAAATTTAATCAGACTCTTAACATCCCTACTGTATTGTTGCCGTGGATATTATCGTTATCCCCAAAATTAAGGAAAATATTTCGGAAAGCTGGCTATAGAGTAGTCTTCAAATCAAATTTAGATTTAAAAACATTACTGACATCAAAAAACAAAACTAAATTACCACAAAATAGTCAACCCGGAACTTATTTGATTGAATGCAAATGCTCAAAGAGATATGTAGGCGAAAACTAAACTTCAAATTAGGACTCGGACTCAACAACATCTAAAAAGTTTAAACGAGGGGAAACAGTATCAATCTGCAATAGCCACCCATAATAAGTTTTGCTTATTATGGGTGGCTATTAGAAATAAAGTGGGAAAACGTAAAAAAATTAAATTTGAAACAAAAAAATTTGATCTAAAAGTGCGCGAAGCCCTAGAAATACAGAGGTTCCAATGTTCACCTATACATGGCGGAATTAATTTAGATAACGGGCAGTTTGTGAAAACTAAATTTTGGACTCCATTTTTTACATTTTTACGTAAGCAAGAAAGAAGCCATTCAACTACTGATGTCAGTTAATTTTAAATAAATATATATATATATATATATATATATATATATATAAATATATATATATAAATATATATATAATATATTTATATATTTATATATATATATATATATATATATATATATATATATATATATATATATATATATATATATATATATATATATATATATATATATATATATATATATATATATATATATATATATATATATAAACCATAATCAACCTTGGGATGATAGTACTACTAAATAATAATACTATCATCCCACCAAAAGATTTTCTGGGGTCATGGCATCAATCATCTTTTAATTTTTTTATAACAGTGAGATAAACAGTAATTAGAAAATATGCTTTTGTTATAAGAAACCTTAAGGTTTTGACAGCATGTTATTATATCTTTTTTTTAAACTTTCCAAATCACTTGTTTAATTGATATCTAAATGTTGTAATCAGAATATATATTTTTTTAAATCATAGATTTAAGACTTATGTTACCAAAATGTAAAAAAAAAAACTTCCAAAAAGTTTCAATAAAACCAACATATGAAATTTTGTAAAAACTTCACTATAAAGTTGCTTATTTGTGTAAAAAGTTATTCTAACTCTTGGTAATTATTAAAATCTTTTATTGGTGCACATTTTGCATAACTTACCCACAGAACTCATCATAAACATTGATAATAAAATTAAAAAAAATAGATTTTTATTGTAACTAGGTATTTTGTTTTTATTATAAGTGAAAAAAAAAACAACAACAACAGTACACTAATGCTAATTAGGGCAACTTTTTCATTTTTTAACAGTCCAAAGAGTGAATCAATGCAAAAAACGCTATGTAAATATTAGGGATAAATGGTTATCATTCTTATATATAAATTTTAAAATAATATCATTTTTGTGTAGATAGATGACAACTGTCGAAACATAGAACATGAAAATCTGGTTTCTATCATAAATCGTGTTAATTCAGAATATTCATTTCGTAGAGATGTTGCCAACAACAAAGAACTCATGTAAATTTATTTAGAATATTATCATTTTTTTTGTTGAAGTTTAAATTATTGTTTTTATAATTTGTTTTTTAAGATATGAAGTTTAACGATGATAAATTGTTAATTATTGATATATATATATATATATATATATATATATATATATATATATATATATATATATTATATATATATATATATATATATATATATATATTTCACGCCATTACCACCCACCATGTGTAGTCACTTGTATTTTAAAACCTAAGCCTTATGTAAGATAATTAATAGGATTACATCAACTTGTGATTTCCATGTATAATTGCCTCTCATAAACTGGTCTCTTTGCCTCTCTGCCTCTCATAAACTGGTCAATTCCAATTAGTTTTGGAGATTCTTATTTGTAGAAGTGTGCTCTGCAAATGCTTTAAGCCAGCTTGTATTCAGTCGTGGACAGAAAAGGCATACAATCGCACTCCAATCTTGACCACTTGTGTAAATGTTTTTTTAGAAAGCTTGACCTCGACTCTTTAGATAATTAAAAATGCGTTGAATAAAACCTACAAAGAAAAAATATTATGAGCAGGCAAGACTAAATAAAAAAGAAATCTTAAATAATTTGTCATGTTGTTTTGATGAGTTTCTAACTGTTTTTTTTTTATATTAGGAGAATACCAAATTAATCTTTTTTCTTTTTTTTTTTGATGTCAAAATAAAAATATTTATATGATAATTTTTTATTTATTAATGTATCTTTATATATCAATCAAAAAAAGCATACATAAACAAATAAAAAAATAATGATATAAATAATTTTATTTAAAGAATAAAAAAGAATTAAAAGCTTTTTTTAAAAATTTTTCTAATACAAAGAATTTCATTTATAACCTTTTCAAACCAGCGCTACAAACTATAAAACTTTTCTCTTTTCTAACTCTTTTCTAATGTTTTTATAATATTAGGGGAACTTATTTAAATAAAAAAAAAACTTATATCTAATTATCATTTAAGAAAAAACTAACTTTATAACACATTTGTTGTTGTCATTGTTTATAAAATTGAGAATACAAATTGTTTAAAAAAAATTAGATTCATCATTAAAAAAAAAAAAAATTTTGAAATAAAATATTCTATTTATTTAATATTCTATAACAATTTATTTAATAGCATTTTAAAACTTTATTTAAAAGCTAAGTATAATCTTTACTTACTTTATTTAAAAGTTTAGAACTTACTTTGTTTAAAAAAATTACTTTATTTAAAAGTTTAGCTTAGTGTAAACAAATTTTATTAGAAAGTTTACATAGCATAACAAAAAAAAAAAATAATGATAATAAAAACTTTGTTATGTTTTTGACTATTAAATATATGGATTTATCAAAAAGTTCATTAAAACAATCGTTTTCGTTGTTGTTTATAAAATTAATTATACAAATTGTTTCAAAAACATATGCATTAATTGTAAAAAATACACTGTTTAACGATATAATATCTTTCGATAATTTAAATAAATGTCTTTTATAGTAAACAATCTTTAAAAGCAATTTCTCACTTTATTACCTTATACTTTATTTAGCACACTTTATTTTTTTTTTGTAAATTTTTTTCACAAAACAAGAGTATTGAGTATTATCTTTGGAGGATATAAATAAATGTTCCCATTTGGGAGCGTTGGTCTTTATAGCAAGTAAATAAAATTAACAGAATTAGCAAAACATCAAATTATTTATTTGTTCCCATTTGGGAACGCTGGATCGATATAGGTTAAGTTGTTGCAAAAAATAAATAAATACGGTCAGGAATAGAGTGTGATCGTATGACTGTTCACGACTGCTTGTTTATGATGCCTGTTCACAACTGGCTTGCATTTTATCAAATAAACATACATAACCTTTTAGATCTAATATTAACCAGCAACTTTAAAAATGTGTTTAATCTAGAAACCATCACTTCATTTACAAGCACCTGTGAACACTTTAGGACTCTTTTCAATTGTATGTTGGAATATTCTAAACTTAGTAAAATTTGGCAAATTTTTGTAATTATTTGAAGTCATCTGTTTCATTACATGTTCCAGTACTTTGTTATAGAAAGAGTAATATTCAATCTCTAGCCATTTGAAAGGCCTCCTAAAAATGTATTCTCTATAGAGATTACAAGAGAACCGGTAATGCATCTATCCATGTCACATACAAGATTTGGTCTCATTTATACGATGCAGAAATAGATGAATATTGTATTTTCAAAGAGAAAGATTTAGTTGGAGTTAATCATTACAGAATGCCTTTCAAATTGTTTATTAATTAATCAATTGATTTCTGTTCATTAATGAAGCTTTTTAAGGTGTAGATTCACCTGTATACAAATGTTAACAACCTGAAACAAGTGGACCACTGCTGTCAATAAACAAATGTTGATAATGTATATGTAGACTTTGAGAAAGCCTTTGATTCTGTGATTGACTCTAAGTTACTGTTCAAACTGCATTTCTATGGTATTAAGTAGGAACTGGATTACAAACTTTTTAACAAATTATTCTCAATGTGTTTGAGTGGGTAACTCATATTCAAACAAAATTCTTGTAAAATGTGGAGAACCTCATTTGAGTGTCTTAAGCCATATCTTATTTATATATGAAAATAAGCTGTTTGTAGAAGACAACATGTTGTATCAAGCAAGAGATGATGGTATCAACACACACCTTCTCAATACTTTAAAAAGATGTTCACAATAGTCAGATATTTGACTGCTTAATATAGCGTCAAAAAAAAGTTTTCATCTTTATTAAACAGTTTTTTTACCATTACATCCATACTCAATGAACATTGATACACCTATTGAGTCTATTAAATCTATTCAAGATCTCGGTATAATTGCGCCTTCAAATATGTTTCCAAATTACTGTTCTTTATTACAGACAAGGCACATTCTCGTACTTACTTACTTCCCAAGTCTTTTATCAGTAACAATCCCTAACTTTTGATAAGAGTCTACAAACTTTCTGTCTGTACTATATATATATATATATATATATATATATATATATATATATATATATATATATATATATATATATATATATATATATATATATATATATATATATATATATATATATATATATATATATATATACATATATATATACATATATATATACATATATATATATATATATATATACATATATATATACATATATATATACATATATATATATATATATATATATATATATATATACATACATATATATATATATATATATATATATATATATATATATATATATATATATATATATATATATATATATATGTATATATATATATATATATATATATATACATATATATATATATATATATATGTATATATATATATATATATACATATATATATATATACACATATGTATGTGTATATATATATATATATATACATATATATATATATATATATATATATATATATACACATACATATATATATATATATACACATACATATATATATATATATATATATATATATATAAATATATATATATATATATATATATATATATATATATATATATATATATATATATATATATATATATATATATATATATATATATATATCAACCCTCATATATATATATATCAACCCTCAGAATTAAGAAAAATGAGGTTTACAATAATTTGCCGACCTCAATCTTTTTGAGGTTGGCATCAGGTCGGCAAAAATTATTTGATACAAAGGTCTGACCATAAAACATAGAAATGAGGTTGGCAATTTATGCTGACTTCAAACATTTTCAGGTCGGCAGTTAAGTCGGCATTGCTGAATGCCGACCCTAATTCTCAGGGTTGAAGAATGTCAACAGTTTGCAATAATTATTACCAGTGGATAACTGATTTCTGTTTGCATTAAAATTCATTTTCCATAGCAAGCCAAAAAAAAAAAATGATTCATTGATTTTAAACATATTTCCAGATATCAATTATTTTATTCTTTTTTTAAGAAAAAAGCTTCTTATCAAGACTTTCATGCTAGACTTTGATTTTTCAAAAGCAAACTTGTTTGCCTCATCTCTTCCACCTAATAGGGCCAGTTTGATGAACTTTAAGTCACCAATAGCAACAGTATTGGCTTAAGTATAATATTAAAAAGGTTTAATCAATTTGAACAAAAACAACATTGTATGCAGTCTTAGGAAGAAGGAAAATTATAAAGAAGAAAAAGAAAGATGATTGATTGAATTGGTACTAAACTAAAGTTTATGAAAGTATAGTTTTAGGATTTTAATTAGATTTTAATCAGGTGAATTGATACATAAATTTATTTTTGATCAGGTGAATTGATATGTAAGTATTTGTCTAGGCCAAGCATGTGACTGTTAGAGACTTCCTAAATCAAAGTATAATAACTATCAACACTGAGATCTCAAGATGAAACTACTGAATTTAAATTTAAAAGAGGAAGTAACTCTAGTAGAGAATCAAGGTATGAAAAGTTTCTTTTAAGCCCACAAATATTTGTAATATGGATTGAAGAAATTTGGTGTTAATGATTGTTTTTGTTCAACTTTTGTTTAGATACTTGTTTATGTTTATAATAGAGAGCTTGACTTAATCATAGATAGTGCATGGCATCTTTAGCAATATGCTATTTAATTTGTTGCTAGTTAACCCAAAGTTGTAGCCTCTACAATTTTTTTTATGTAGCCATGTACAACTCACACCAAAAACACTAACATATATACATTTGATGCGCAACATGGCAATGTTAATACTCAGATATTTTTAGCTATTATTGGTATTAGCTTCTCTAAGAGCTAGGACAGATTTTAGGAAACTACTAGTCATCCTCAAATTACTAAAATTTAGAACTTACCCTCATTAGAAGATTTAGGGCTGTTGCATAGCCACTACCATGAAGGCTCAAGCAAAAATCCAAAAGTAGAGTTAAAAAGAACTATTATTATTCATTTTGATTTGGCACTAAACAATGTAATACAGGTTTACATCTATCCCATCCTATTAGATGATGAAGGCTTGGAACTAAACTTATGACTTGGAATAAAACTTGTATTTACTACTATGACACAGTTGAAGCCAACAACTTTTGACACTCTTGGGATATTTTTTGACTATGGCTCAGTCTGATAAAATAATGCTGAATTAAAATTCCAAATAGGTTAATGTTAATAAATCATAATTTTTGTAATATCTACACAAATTATCAAGAAAAATTTGAAAACTTTATAAAAACAAAAATGAACTGGTAAATTGTTCCATACATAAACTACTATTATAATGTTTTTAAAGAGAGCTTTGTATTTAGAAGCTATATATAATTTTTTTTTTGTATGTTGAAAAAAATTATGTATAGTCTCCAGTAGATAAATAAATTTGTTTTTTAGATCTCTACATCATAGGGACATTTGTCTACAATATACATGTCCCAATTAAGTGAAGGTCTAAAAAATAAACAATCTCCAAAATCCTATACTTCTTTATATCTTTTTCAGCAATTCAGAACAAATCTCTGTTAGTAGATTAATAAAGCTAAAAGAGTGCAATACAGAGATCTAGGTCTTCAGACTTTAGTCTAGATTTCAAGACATCTCAAGACTTATATTTAACTATCTTAGTCTTGGTCTTGAAACTTGGAGTCTTAGTCTTGGTCTTGGTTTTGAAAACTTAGAGTATTGGTATAGGTGTCAGAGCGTTCCTGTCTTGTACTTTCTTGATTTTTACAAAAAATTTCAGCACAATGGATGAATTAGTTTCTAATAATAAATTGTTGATTATCGTAGTATTTCACTTTCAACAAAATTTGTACCTAAAAAAACGTTTTCTCTATTTCTTTATGCATACCAGTATTTATTAGATTTACATAGTTATCTGGCGAACTACAATCTTCTTTTAGCCGAACTTGCAAATTACTGTAACTAACTTTAGATTGATTTTTTTTAAACAATTCTTCCAATTGTCTTCAATTGGTCTTATCTCAGTACAGTTGTCAGGATTATCTTTCTTAAAAACATAATTGATACTTTCACTGTTTAGCAAAGCAATGACATTTTTGGCATATTGAGCTGAAGCTCAGACAGGCCAAAATGTAATTATTATCAAGATATTGTTTGCGCATGAATGAAAAAGAAATATTTTCAATGCAATCTTTTTTGTACATATTTTTGTTAACAGAATAGCCAGATTGCTTGATTATTGGTCTAGTCATATCTTTGGAACTAATAGAAAGCCATACCAGTAATTTGTTTTCGAACTTAGCTTTTCTTTTGTACTTGAGGTCTAGAGAAGCATTCTTGGGTTCACTGGAGTAATACCTATCATTCCCAACAACTTTTGAGTTTGACAAAGTAAAATAAGATTCATCATCCAAAATAAAATTTTTGTAAAAAAACTTTTTATACAATTGTCCGCATTTATGGCGAGTGACAGCTAATAGACAGCTTTCTAATAGTTGCTTCGGAATTATTGTTAAAATAAGCAGCAAGCTGGTTGATTTCACTTTTTGTCATTTTTGTGCCATTTCTTTTCAAAATTTCCATATTTTTTTCACGTAGTTTACTTTCATATTTTTTAATTTTACGATATACAGTTGTTTTCTGAAAACTTTATGCTAAAAGATTTCCTTGTGTTTCCTTATGTAATTTATGTAGATCTTGTACACATAATTTATTACATTTACTTTTTTTGAACTGATTTTTATAACTAAAGAAAAATTATTTTTGATTAATGCATTTTTTGTTTATAATTTTATTGTCTAGTTTACATAAACATTAAGTCATATGCTATTATTTTAACATTGGAACATAAGCCGTTGTATTTTGCAGAGTTCCATTTTTGACGGAACACTCGTTAAGTCTTAGTCTTTGTTTTGAGCCCAAATGTCTTGGTCTTAGTCTTGGTCTTAGTCTTGGTCTTAGTCTTGGTCTTAGCTTTTACTGTCTTGACTACATTTCTGGTGCAAATGGTGAATGCATTGATAAATGTTAGTTAATTGTTAATTTATTAGTTAGTACTACAAATTTTTGAAGGTTACAAGCCATTCTTTTATTTCTTAAATGCAAAATAGGATATTTCACTGGAATCAACAGCTTTATAAAAATCTTTATAAACAGAAATAATCTTTTATAAAGATTTTATTTAAAAAAAAAAAACTTGTTGCCATATTCTTTGTTACAATTAACAGCATGATGTTTACACTTTATTCTGCAGATTAAAATTCATAAATAACTAATTAAAATAGCCAGATAATTATAACTTGGCATTTGCTTTGTTTCTAACTTTACACCATTTTTTAAATTTTGAGTTTTTAAAAAGAAAAAGGGATCTAAAATAATATGTTAAATGTTAAGTAAGTTGTAGTTATAAAATATAGTTAAAAATTAAATAAGTTATAGTTAATATTTTTAAAATTAAATAGGTTATACAAAAATCTTCTAAACTTAGGTTTAAGAGTTTGTTAATGTTCTCATTATGCTTAAAGGGATCTTAAACTCCCAACACATGTTGTGTTCATATTAAAGTTCAAATTAAAAAGAAAATGTTTAAAAATAAAATGGTTTGAACCAAGTTTTTTTGATTAAAAATAAATAATGAGAAAAACTAACGCTGTTGTTTTAGCCGAAACTAAGTCACGGTAGGTTTTTAATAAAAGAAAAATGTAATTAAACAAAGCTGTGTTTTTCTACTTTACTTCAAAAACGCTACTTTAATTCAAAAACGATGTAGTAATTTTTTAACATACAGCAAAACAACTTTTACAACAAATTTTTGCAAAAATCAAAAATAATAAAAGCTTTTTACTTCATAAGAGGAACTTTTTTTTACCGATATCTTAATAATTTTTAGATTTATATATCTTTTGTTTTTAAATTAAAATAAATATTAAAGCTTTACTTACGAATCTTATGATTTTCACACGAGTGTTTTACATTATATAGAACGTTATGTATACAGTCTCTTGTTATTGTACAAGAGAGCGCAGTATTTTATATTTTGAATCTTACTTATTTTTATTTAAACAATGGGAACTTTTTTCTAACTTCTCTGGTTATTTTTACGCTATGATATTTTTTGTTTTCCCGTCGAAAAAAAGTGTTTATTAACAATTAATTTCATAAACTGAAAGTATTAATTAGAGATATTTAATAAATTGTTAAATTTTTTTATTATAAAAATTTTTTGGTTACGCTGATTTATTTTAAATTGCTGAATTGGATACGGATAAAATTTTGATTTTTCGTAATAAAACTTTTAAAATGTTGGTACCTCCATACCAATTAGAACCTGTTAAGGTTATGAAAAAAAAGTACAAGAATACACTAAACAATACAGTTGACAGTAGTATCAGATATGAAAATTCGTGAAAGGATATGTGAGATCCTGGTTTTGCATTAAATGTACAATTAATAGCAACACAAGTCAGCATTATAAATTTTGATTATAAGTTTACTCTTCAATATTTTATAACCATCAAATAAAAAACATGAAGTTTTGCCCGTTTTATACAACTAATATTTAACAAAAATACAGACAAATTATTATTATATAACGCAATAAGTAACACATTAATTAATGGCAATAATTCAAGGTAAATGGTAATTTAAATTGTCAAAATGTCATAACGCGCGTTAAAAAACATATTGTATTAGGTATTTCCCAATTTGTGTCATATTTGGCATTTGTCTCTTAACATGAAAAATTAAAATAATTTTAAAACACAACAAATACAAATTTTCAAGCAATTTTCTCTTCCAATTTTCATTTATTCAAAGCAAAGTTACTATTAAACTTTTTTATTTTAAAAAAAAGAACGAGTGACGTAACAACTCTTATTCATTCGAAGTTTAATTATGCGAAACTTTTCTTTCTCTTTTGTTCTACTCTTTAATAAAAAGAGCGAGCGATGAAATAAAAACTTTTCTTTCTTAACATGCAAAGCAAATTGAAACGAAATATTGTCTGACCAAATAAAAATGCTGTTACTAATTTTATAAGGGTAATTAATGTAAAACAATTTTTTATCAGAGTCTTGATTGAGATAATAAATATTCATAATTTATAAACATTAAATATATGGCGCAATAACAATTTATAGCAACGAACCAGCATAAAATATTTGAGGTTTTTAATATTTTTTCAAATGTTAAAAAAAAAAAATAAACAAATAATCAAAAAATTTTCGAATAAAAATAAATAAAAATATTTCCAGAGTTTCATTTGTTAAAAGTCTACCGTGACGTCAAATACTAAAACTTTTATGAATTAAACGCACTTCAAAGGAATGGCCAAAGTCTGTAGATTGCGACATATAATTTAAAGACTCCAAGTTATTGAAAAAAATGGAGAAGGCAAGCTTCGGCTAAAGCAACAACATTAGTTTTTCTTGGTATGCATTCATTATTTATTTTTAATCAAAAAAACTTGGTTCAAACCTTTTTTTTAACATTATCTTTAATATGAACACAACATGTGTTGGGAGTTTGGGATCCCTTTAAGTTATAGATTTAGTTTCTTCAAAATTTCCACCTGCTTTATTAACAGCCTTGTTAATGTGTAAGTATATGCAACTCATTGATTTTATATTGCTAGAAACTCTAAATATTAAAATATGTTCATTAAAGTTATCATTTATTGTCAATATAAATGATTACAATTTATCATTTATCAAAACAATAACATTGTAGGATTACAAAAATTGTTAAATCAAAAATTTGTCAAATTAATCAGTACATCACTAGTGGTATTACATTTGTTCAATTTCTTTATATTTTTTTATTTAACAATTCTTTATATATTTTTTATTTATATTTTTTAGAGATCAAGGCACAGAAACTGGAATTTTTCGGTATTTTGTTTTTTTTTTAGTGTTATAATCATATTTAATGTTGAAAAATTGCATAATATCATTTAATAACTGTAATGAATAATATGTGTTTAATTCCTACTCCTGTTTGTTGCTATCTAGTGCAGCGCCCTAATAATTAGAACTATTTTTTTCAAAAGTTTTTTGGTTTGTTATTCTGCAATAAGTGTGGTAATGGCAATATGCATAGCTTGTTACGTAGATTGACATGCACTTACAGGCCTTGGCAATTTATGTATGCGCTCAGCAGTTTTTTGTTAAGCAAAAACTTTATTATTTGGGAATATTTAAATTATCTTTTAATACAGTTTATATGACATTTACTCGGAAAACATTAAGTTGTAAAAAATGCATTTAACTGCAACTGTGATTATTTTAAATAATTTTTTTTTATAAAAGATTTCGAATTAAATATAATTTTAAAAATTTTAGTTTAGTTTTGAAGGAAATAGTATAACGTAGAATGTAAAATTTAGTTTCAAAAAAATGTAAAATAGTTTTGCAATATTATTAAATGAAGAAACCTTTTACTTACTAATTAATTCATTACTTTTCATCATAGATTAAAATATGTGAAAGCAAATTAAAAACCTTTTTTTTTTTTAGTAAAAAAGAAGTGTTTTTGTTTAAAAGAATTCTTTTTACATGTATTTAAAATTTTCACATAAATTAAAAATTTTTTGTTTCTTATTAATTCAATATCGTGTAAAGTTCTTTTAAGGTAATTTATTTATGAACATAAATTTTGTTTACAAATATCTTATTGGTAACTAAAATCACTCTATAAATTGTTTATAATCAATTAAAAATATTACATTAAATTTATAAAAAAAAAAAAAAATTATGATAAAGAAACAAAAGATTATGTTAGGAATAAGATTGTTTTAAGAATTAAATTATAAGAAAATCTAATAATTTTCAAATACTGAATTCAGATTTCATCAGTAATTTTTGTTATATTAGTTTTAAATAATTTTTAATGCTTTGAAATTTTGAATTTTTAAAATCAAATTTAATTACAGTACTTTAAAATAAAGTAATAAAAGAAACAGTTTAACTTTTAATGATGTAAATATCAAAGTTGCATTTATTAGCATTACGTGTTTTCCTTACACAATAAAATCTCATAACAAGAACTTATGCATAGTAATCTCCGTAATTATTAGTCTCTCAAATAATTTAAAACATGACTGCAGTGCCTATATATAAAATATTAAACATAAAACACTATCACCACTGATTTGTTTGAATCTATCTTTTACAAATATTCTCAGTCTTTAAAGTTTCATTTTAAGATCTCAGTGTTGATGATTATTATTCTTTGATTTTCAAAGGCTCCACTAGTTACATGCTTGGCCTGGGCATATACTTGCGTATCAGTTTACCTATTTGTTGTAAAATCAGGTTTGGTAACCTTGGTAACCTTTGTTTTTGTTCTTTTATCATTCTCCTTATTCTTAAAGTTTTTCTTATTTTCAAAACTGCGCTCTTTGATGTTGTTTCTAAAATTGAGCAAATCCTTTATTATTATCACTCAACCAAAATTGTTGTCATCGGCGATATTAATCCTCATCATACTAAATGACTTGATCAGATTGAATGGTTTGGCAAATATCTTTTTATCATTGTAAGAAGCTGAAATGAAATAATAAAAATAAGTTAAAGATTGAAAGTTACAAATGTTCCATTTTTTTTACTAGACTACTAAATCTTGTTTCATTTTAGAAGTGAAGTTCTAAAGACTTTATAGAAAATCATTAACTGAGTCATCAACAAATCAATTCTAACATTCCATCTTTCATACATGAGTCTGATCTTATTGCCTTTCTTAAGGTGTAAAAATCATTTTTTGCCAATTTATGATTGTTAAAAATATTTTAAAATAACTTTTATTCTTATCTCTTGACTCTAATAGGTAAGCTTTTCTTGTCATCCCAGAAAAACAAGTTAATTCATTGTTAAATATCCCAATCACCCTGGCTTCCTTTACTTTTTTAGTTAAACTTTTTTACAACTTTTTAAAGTTATTTTTTAGTTAAACTTTTTTACAACTAGACAACATTACATTACAGCTGTTAGATTCTTACAATTGTATTTTCTAGAACTCTTATCAATACTTAATAAACTGTTTAAAAAGTTAAATGTTTTTTTTTTTATCTTGTGTTTAACAACTTACTTTCTGATAATCTGATCCTTTTGTTCTACTGCTGACTTGTATAACAGAAAAATTCCATTGTGCATTAGATTATTAGCAGTGAAGCAGCGCCTATTGCTTTTGATATATAAAAGGGATTGTATAAAATTTGTATGATGGTCTTATCCAGAAGCTCTCTTCATATGGTCTATTTGAGTTTTAAAAGTTTCAAAAATCATTTCTAACAGCAGGATTAATTTTGTCCTTGATAGGCAGCACTCATTTTATTACCAGTACTTTAAATGAATTGGAAATTTGGTGAAGTTTAACTAAAAAAAAAAACTAATCCAAAACCATATATCTCTCCATTTTTTTCTTCCTGATTCCATTCTCTATCTCTATAAATCTTTTATTGGTTCTTGTATGGATTACTGTTATCATCTTTAAGCTAGTGCTCCTAAAGATGTCTTTTTTTTTTGCAAGTACTACTATGGTTGCTGCTTAAGTGAGGTTTTATCTCTTGTTCTATTAATCATTTTTAATTTTACTAGGCTTATCAATCAGCAAAATTGCACTGTTCCTTCATGCTTAAAGAATGTTTTTTTCCTTGAATTTTGGTGCTTTAGCATTCTCTCATTTTTTCATGTTTTCTTGATTCATATAATTTACAATTTTTCGAAAGAGTCGAAGAAGAGAGTTAAAGAGCAATCTTTCAAGTGCTCTTTGAAGCTCTTCTTCTTTTTCTGTTTCTTCTTTTTCTGTTTCTTCTTTTTCTGTTTCTTCTCTTTCTGTTTCTTCTTTTTCTGTTTCTTCTTTTTCTGTTTCTTCTCTTTCTGTTTCTTTTCTTTTTGTTTCTTCTCTTTCCGTTTCTTCTCTTTCTGTTTCTTCTCTTTTTGTTTCTTCTCTTTCTGTTTCTTCTCTTTCTGTTTCTTCTCTTTCTGTTTCTTTGACTCTTTTCACTTTCTGTTTTTAACTTTAATTGCAGTTATTATAACCAAATAATTGTGGGTTATTATTTACTTATAAATTATAACTCATTTAAGATAAGTTATAAAGTTATAACCACAATTGTAGTTGTAGTTATATCTTTTATTCTGGCAGCCTTGTTGGAAGTTAGTTTGTCAAAAAAAGAAACGATTTGATGATGTGCATATTATGCAATCTCTGCTTACATGTCATATATGGAAGTAAGTTGTTTACATACATAACATTATGTAATGTCTGTACAAATGATTGCAGGCGTATAGGTGAGGCTCCCCAGTAATTAAGTACAGAAAAACTCAGATATAAAACCTTTAATTTGTTTTTGTATAATGATAAAGAAAATAGATAATATAGAGGAGATTAATATAATATTAGGATAATTCTTACATAGCTTATTTAGCAATTAATATAATAGCAGTAATTACAGTAAAAAATTTGAAATAATTTTATATTATTTATTATCTGCAACACAGTTTAACACCAGAAATGGCATGAACTCTTAATATTTTTATATTTTTATAATTTACCTTGGCAAAGTAAATTTGAAAATAAATCAAAAACATAAAAAATAGTGCATGTTTGTCACTTTCTGTTTTTAGTTTTTATTAAAAGTTTTATGAAATGCAATACTTAATTTGTTAAACCATTTGTACAACTAATTGTAACAGTTATTAATAAGTTAAATAAGCTAAAAATAAAAAGGATAAATTTTATTAAATATTTTATTAGTTTAAGATTAAAAGATTGCAATTTAAAACGGTCACTCATCAAGGACTCCAAATGCTTTTTACATTACCACATAAGTTAATCATTTATTTGAAAATTAATTGATTAGTTAATTGTAGGGATTGCAATCCTGCATTGCGTAATCCCGCAATCCCGCGGGATCCCACATTATTTTAGCGCATGCGAGATCCAACGGAAACGGGATCCGCAGGATTTGCTGAGTTTTGAAATTATTGCTTTTAAATAAAAAAAAGCAATTCTATAAACAAAGGCGAAAAAGATATCAAATTATAGTATTTAATGTATTTGCATAACAAATTTATTTAAAGGTTTACTAGTCATTAAATGCACAATAAAATGTATACTGAGAAACTCGTTGAAATTTTTTTTTGTTTTGTTAATGATTAGTCATAAAATAGTCATTAAGCGCACAATGAAATGTATACTGAGAAACTCGTTCAAATTTTTTTTGTTTTGTTAATGAATATGTTGAAATTTTTGCTAATGAGTATATTGAAATTTTTGTTGATGAGTATGTTGAAAACGTTAAATTGAAAACGTGATTAATAAAAAGCGCACTACTTTTAAAAAAGACTTCAAAAATTATTTACATCAAGATTTTAAAACAAAAGTACCTACTAAGCATGTCGCAAATTAAAACTATATGGAATTATTTTAAAAAAATAAGTAATAAAGGAGAAAATGCGAAGTGCATGTTATGTTCGGCTATTTTAAAAATTAGTCAAAGATCATCAAAAGGGTTATTAATCCATTTAAAAACTAAACATGGAAATGATTTAAAATTAAACGTTTTACAACAAGACGGAGCTTCAACTTCAAAACAGCATGAATCAGTTGAACTAGAGTCTAAAATATACATCGACTGCAAAGACGAAGAGGTAATCCTATCAAAAAAGGTCAAAACAATAGACACGTTTTTCGTGTCTATTGTTTTGAGCTTTCTATGGAAAAAATGGTATCGCCCATGGTTGCTAAAGATGGCTTTACATTTAATAGTTTTTGCACATCTTCAGATTTGCGGTATTTGTTTTTAAAGAGTGGTTCCGGCTCCCTACTTCACCTAATACTATAAGATCGATGGTATTAAAATTCTCAGATTCTGTAAAAGCCGATATAATGCAAAAATTTATATCATTAAAAAAGCAAAATCAAAAGTTTTCAATAACGTTTGACGAATGGACATCACAAAATAGTCAGAGATACCTTAACTTAAATGTACATATGGAGGCAAAACACTTTAATCTTGGATTGATTCAAATCCATGGATCGTGTAATGCAGAATATTGGGCCAAGTTAGTTGCAGGAAGGCTAAATGGCTTCAATATCGACCTCTAAAAAGACATTATCGCCATGACCACTGATGGAGCAAGTGTGATGGTGAAAGTAAAATGATGTCTTGCTATCATTAACTATGTTATGCTCATGGAATACAACTTGCAGTTATTGATATCTTATACAAGAAAAACAACGGTAAAGTCAAAAAATCGTTTACTACAAATGAAAATTGCGAAGAAGATGAACATGAGAACACTGATGATGATGAAGTTATAAATAAAGAATATGGTTTGACAATAATTTTGACCGACCATCTGCTGAATTGGTTAGCAATTACAAAGATCTCATGAAAAAAGTGAGAAAGGTTGTGAAAATATTTAAAAACTCTCCTGTCAAAAATAATACATATTTACAGAAGTATATCCTAAATGAACACGGCAAAAAGCTTAAGTTGATTCTTGATTGTAAAACTAGGTGGAACAGTATGTTCGATATGTTAGAAAGATTTCATAGACTAAAAGTGTGTATTGAAAAAGCCTTAATTGATGTTGGGTAAGAAATTCGTTTGACCCAAGAAGAATGGTCCCAAATCAATGACTTAATTATTTGTCTGGCACCACTAAAACTTGTTCTCAAACTATTATGCAGGAGAGATTCGAACCTTGTCACTGCGGAAACAACTTTTAAATTTATGTTAGATAAATTACAAAAGCAATCATCACTTTTGAGCATTGATTTAGCCGCGGCACTTTGTGAGAGGTTTACACAACGTCGTAATAAGAATTTAAATGGACTACTGGTTTACTTACAAAATCCTAAAAAATATGAACAAGAAATTTAAAAAAATGAAAATACTTTTTCAATGCCAAAGAGAACCATTATGCGTCAAGAAGTAAAAAAAATATTGACAAGAGTTTATACAATTAAAAGAAATAAAGACAAAGAAAATGAACTAGAAGAAAAAGAAGCTGTAGATTCTATTAATAATTCCCAAATACTTACTCCTACAATTCTATCGCTAAAAAAAGAGTTGGAAAATCATATATAGAAAGACAAGAAAAGCTGGACAGAAAATGTAAAGGAGATACTAAATTTAGATTCTTTAGACTTTGATAAATTATTGAAGCAGGAAATGTCTGCCTATGAAAATAACGGAGTAAGTGGCAAGTTTTTAGATATAGCTCATAATTACTTGATGACCATATCACCAACAAGCGTAGAGGCTGAGCGAGCTTTTTTAGCTGCTGGCTATATATGCAGTCCTTTGAGGAGTAGATTATGTGATGATACTTTAAGTAGGGTCTGTTTGTTAAGAGCGCATTTCTTACTATGATACTTTCTCATACTTATTTTTAAAAATAAGTAAAGTTAAAAGACGCTCTACGTAAAGCTGAAAGAGGTTTTATGTATTTTTATCTTATCCTTTTGTTCATTAAATTAAGAATTATATTAATTTACAAATGAGTTGTGTTTTTGGCTTCATTTACCTCATCTTATCAATTTAATAAGTTGAGTATATTTTTTCTGAAATAATTGCAAGAAAAATACAATTATCATTTTGCCTTTTATAATGTGCATAAGAAATCTACCAATCCCGCGTGGGATCCCGTGGGATCCGCACATAAATTAAAAAATCAGCGCGGATCCCGGGATTGCAATCCCTAGTTAATTGATATAAATTTCGATTATTTTTTTAATCTTTTTATTCTTAACCTAGACTAAAGAACTCATTGATACCAAATGTTCATAGTGTTTTATGGAAGTCATCAAATGGGTAAAAGATACTTGTTTTTTTAAATAGTGATTTTAAATATTTGTTTTTTAGTTTTGAAAAAAAGAAAAGATATTTCAAAACTACATTAGAAGTCTACTAACTTTTAAAAAAAAAAAATTTTTATTTTTAAATTTACAATCAATGAATGTCCAACTTTCAATTAATCAATTTTTGACATAGTATTATTACATAAATTTTTTTAAAGGATGCTACAAAAGTTTTGTTATCTGTTATCATTAACATCTCATAACAACTCTATCATTAAAAGGAATAAATTTTATACTTTTCTTTCATAAATTTTAATAATTCCCTGGTTCCTTAATAATTAGTTTATTCTTAATACCTAATTCTAACCTAATAATATTATTAATATCATAGATACCTAATCTCATTTAAATTATTTCATGCATAAAAAATGTTTTTGAGAAAGCTTTAACAATAGTATTTTATTAAGTAGTGGTGGTAAAAGATGACTTTTAAACAAAGTTATAGCAAAAACAAAGCCAAAATCAAGATCAAAACTTCTCTTTTGAACTCATTACGATGCATGGAATTGTTTGAACTTTTTTCGAGTGATTTTAAGATATGTCACCTTGCCAGGTTTTTTTGTTGTTATTGTTGAAACTTAGGCATTTTTCTCATTATTTAATGACCAACTATTAATAAAAACTTTTAACCTATTTAAATTTTTGAGAACTAGGGTGTAAACCCCTCTCTACTTTATATAAACTTATCTATTGTAAATTCAGTTAAGATACTAAGATTTGTTTAAATGTACTCAGCTACTTATCTATTTAAAATTAAAATAGGTTTAAATAATACTGTTTTATTATATTGTTCCTGACATTTATATAGCTAATAAGTGACTATTGGCTAAACTGAATTGGTGTACAACATCACACATGGTCTTTTTCCATATTTCCATAAATGGAAGGTAATTTTTAACTCGATGCACATAGTTATATGTTTCAATGAGTCTGTAAACAAAGTTGTTCTAAAAGGTCGAATAGATGTTTGCATTCAATGACGAGATATATTCGCTACAAGATTTCTTTTAATTAGTGTCTCGGCCACGTATTCATTCTTTTGCTAATAATTTGTATTAAGGTTTCAATTTGTACAAGTATTTTGACTGAAAATCTCCAGGCTTTCTTGGGTTCGAAAATCTCCAAATTTTGCAAGTTGTTATGGATGATTAGAATTGGAAGTTTTTTGATATTCTTAATGATAAGTTTGGTAAAAAGTTGATAATGGATATCTTTGACGGAGTTTGCAATTATGACAAACTCAATGATCAAAAGTATCTCATTCACATTACTAAGATTCACCTCTAAAATTTTAAATTATTTTAATTCTTGAAAAAGACTGGTAGGAATTAGTAATCTTAATTAGTTAGAATAATTATCATAATTGTAATATAGTTACTTTGAATATTTTGATTTAAAAACTTTACCTTAAGAATGGCGCAAAGAGATTATTTGCATTAAAAAAAAAAGTTTAATACTCTACAATTAATTGTCATAGTTATATTTTAGTTATAAGAATTTTAATACCTTAAGAATGACGCAAAGAGATTATTTTTATTTAATAAATTATTTTTTCAATTTAAAAGTTTACAATTAGTACCCACAACAAAAGCCAGAGCCTTATTATCATTATTTCTTATCAAACTTAACAAAGTGAGTTTATAGACTTATTGAAACATATAACTATGTGCATCAAGTTAAAAACCACCTTCCATTTATGGAAATATGGGAAAAGACCATGTATGATGTTGTACACCACTTCAATTTAGCCAATAGTCATTTATTAGCTATATAAATGTCAGGAAAAATATAATAAAACAGTATTACTTAAAGGGATCCCAAACTCCCAACACATGTTGTGTTCATATTAAAGATAATGTTAAAAAAAGAGGTTTGAACCAAGTTTTTTTGATTAAAAATAATGACTGCATACCGAGAAAAACTAATGTTGTTGTTTTAGCCAAAGCTCACCTTCTCCATTTTTTTCAATAACTCAGAGTCTTTAAATTATACGTCGCAATCTACAGACTTTGGCGATTCCTTTGAAGCACGTTTAATTCATAAAAGTTTTAGCATTTGACGTCATGGTAGATTTTTAACAAAAGAAAAGTGTAATTAAGCAAAGCTACTTTAATTCAAAAAGTACGATGTAGTAATTTTTGAACATACAGCAAAACAACTTTTACAACAAATTTTTGTAAAAATCAAAAATGATAAAAGCTTTATTATTTTATAAGAGGAACTTTTTTTTACCGATATCTTAATAATTTTTAGATTTATATATCTTACTTATAATTCTTTTGTTTTTAAATTAAAACAAATATTAAAGCTTTACTTACGAATTTTATGACTTTCATACGAGTGTTTTACATTATATAGAATGTTATGTATATCGCTTCTCGTTTTTGTGCAAGAGAGCGCAGTATTATATATTCTGAATCTTATTTATTTTTATTTAAACAATGGGAACTTTTTTCTAACTTCTGGTTATTTTTACGCTATGATATTTTTTGTTTTCCCGTCGAAAAAAAGTGTTTATTAACAATTAATTTCATAAACTGAAAGTATTAATTAGAGATATTTGATGAATTGTTAATTTTTTTTATTATAAAATTTTTTTGATTACGCTAATTTGTTTTAAATTGCTAAATTTGCTGATTTGGATACGGAGAAAAGGGAAATATTTTATTTTACATTTGATTTTTGATAATGAAACTTTTAAAATGTTGGTAACTCCATACCAATTAGAACCTGTTAAGGTTATGAAAAAAAAATACAAGAATACACTAAACAATACAGTTGACAGTAGTATCAGATATAAAAATTTGTGAAAGGATATGTGAGATCCTGGTTTTGCATTAAATGTACAATTAATAGCAACACAAGTCGGCATTATAAATTTTGATTATAAGTTTACTGTTCAATATTTTATAACCATTAAATAAAAAACATGAAGTTTGTATATTTTTTTTGTATATTTAACTAATATTTAACAAAAATACAGACAAAATTATTATTATACAAAGCAATAGTTAACACATTAATTAATGGCAATAATTCAAGGAAAATGTCAATTTAAATTGTCAAAATGTCATAATGCGGGTTAAAAAATATATTATATTTGGTATTTCCCAATTTATTTTGTATTTGGCCTTTGTCTCTTAACATAAAAAATTAAAATAATTTTAAAACACAACAAATACAAATTTTCAAGCAATTTTCTCCTCCAATTTTCATTTCTTCAAACAAAAATTACTATTAAACTTTTATTTCTCTCATTTAAAAAAAAAACGAGTGACGCAAAAAAAAAAAAAAAATTCTATACAACTCTTATTCATTCGAAGTTTAATTATGCGAAACTTTTCTTTCTCTTTTGTTCTACTCTTTAATAAAAAAAGCGAGCGATGAAATAAAAACTTTTCTTTCTTAACATATATTTATACTTTGAGATAAAATTAAATTAGAAATAAATCAACAATGAACAAAGCAACTAACAGATTAATCTGGGACTATTTTGATATTAATGAAAATAATCAACATAAGCAACATTACCAACAACAATTATCAATAAACAACACAATATTGCATAATTTTAGGGTCTTTTTATTTTTATTGCTAAGACGTTCTAAATAATAAGTAAATTTAGTTCAAGTTAATATTTCAATATTTACAGTTGCAATATAATAAAGAAATGATGTTTAATGTTGAACTTTTTATTTAGTTATTTATTTTTTACCTAAATTTGTTATAAAAACCTTTAGAACCTCCGTCATTAAAATAATTTGTTTTAAATATATTTCGACGTGATTATTTAAACTAATTTTTTTCACTTGACTTCCCAAACTTCATGCAAAGCAAATTGAGACAAAATATTGTCTGACCAAATAAAAATGCTGTTACTAATTTTATAAGGGTAATTAATGTAAAACAATTTTTTATCAGAATCTTGATTAAGATAATAAATATTCATAATTTATAAACATTAAATATATGGCGCAATAACAATTTATAGCAACAAACCAGCATAAAATATTTGAGGTTTTTAATATCTTTTTAAATGTTAAAAAGAAAAAAAAAACTTAACAAATAATCAAAAAAAGTTCGAATAAAAATAAATAAAAATATTTCCAGAGTTTCATTTGTTAAAAGTCTACCGTGACGTCAAATGCTAAAACTTTTATGAATTAAACACGCTTCAAAGGAATCGCCAAAGTCTGTATATTGCGACGTATAATTTAAAGACTCCGAGTTATTGAAAAAAATGGAGAAGGTGAGCTTTGGCTAAAACAACAACATTAGTTTTTCTCGGTATGCATTCATTATTTATTTTTAATCAAAAGAACTTGGTTCAAACCTTTTTTTTTAACATTATCTTTAATATGAACACAACATGTGTTATGAGTTTGAGATCCCTTTAAACCTATTTTAATTTTAAATAGATAAGTAGCTGAGTACATTTAAGCAAATCTTAGTATCTTAACTGAATCTATGATAGATAAGTTTATATTAAGTAGAGAAGGGTGCAAACGGTTATTTAACAGGATTTAGCATGGGTGCAGAAGATTATTTAGATCAAGCCCTAGATGCCTTCCTGGATATGTGACAACTTGAAAAGTAGTGACAATTTTATTTTCATCCAGGATGGTGCACCCTGTCACTGGTCCAGACATAGCTCTCAGAGAATATTTTTTACTGGATTAAAGAAATCTCTCAGCTCTCTAGATTTAAACTCTCTATATTTTTCTATATGTTCATGTCTTGTAATATATGTTCATATGTCTTGTAAGCAACAACAACCAAATGTTGAAGCTCTGATGATTTTTCTATATGAGCATATGTTCAGGTTTTGGTTTAAAATGAGATGCAAAATTAAAAGAAAATAACTCTAAACCATTTTGTTTTTCCAATGAGAGACTTTTCTTAAAATCAGTAGAAATATAGTAAAAATGAAATCGATGGAAATTGCACTTTGATTTTATCTTGTCAAAATTAAATGTATTAAGTTATTTTAAATCTCATTTTATCTACATTGCATTATTTTTAATTTAAACCTTTTAGATCAATAAAAATATGTAAGCAACAACAACCAAATGTTGAAGCTCTGATGATTTTTAGCATCTTAAAACCTTCTTAGAATTTTCTTTTCTTCAAACTTTTTAAGGACTTTCTTATTTTAAAACTTTCTAAGTACTTTCTTATTTTAGAAGTTTCCAGAATTTCTTTCTAATCTTGAAATTTTCTTATAGACTGATGTTTATTATATTACTATATATTTATTTTTAGAGAGACAATACTAAATAACTTTTTATTAGTTTGCATAATAATTTTTTTTTAATATTCAAAATAATGAAATAAAGATTTTAAAATTTAATAGCAGAATAATGACTACACTGAAAACTCAAGACAATTTGCAATTGAATGACACAAATTGCAAATTAAGTTTTATTTTTAAATGAATTGTTATGTTAATGATTTTATATCTTGTTATGTTAATGATTTTATATCTTGTTATGTTAATGATGTGATTTTTTTTGAAAAAGCTGTGGATTTAAGCTATGGATTTAAGTGGGTGTTTAAAAACTTTAAGTGAGCAAAATATATTATTGCAATGTCAATTTAGCAAAACCAGCTAAAGTGTGTTTATATCTATTCACACATAGAAGTACAATATCAATGAACCTGAGCATGTAAAATCTATGTATAAAGGACATCACAGATCATGTTATAAGATTATTGCAAAATTAATTTTTGTTATTATTCTCTTATTTTTTATTTTTTTGCTAACAAATTTAATGATAGATTCTCCCCTTAAAAACAAGGAACACGGTTTTGTATAAACTAAAATTTTGTATAAAATGGTATACCATCTATGGATTGTATACCATTCAATGTATGTCTTTCTCTATCTTATTTCTTAGTATGAAGCTTTTAGTGATTTTTCATGCAGATTGCACCTGCAGTCTGCATGAACTAAGTTAACACATACATTTATATATATATATATATATATATATATATATATATATATATATATATATATATATATATATATATATATATATATATATATATATATTATACATTTATATATACATTTATATATATACTATATATATATATATATATATATATATATATTGTATATATATACATTTATATATATATATATATATATATATATATATATATATATATATATATATATATATATTTATATATATATATACATTTATATATATATACATTTATATATATATGTATATATATATATATATATATATATATATATATATATATATATATATATATATTATAGTAAATATATTATAGTACATAAATGCCATAAGGTATATATGGGTACAAATATCTTAATTAAGTTAAATTAACCAAGTTAGTTTTTTTGGGTTTCATATAGATATGCTTTTGTGTTTGTTATGGTAGCTGGCGAAAACATTACATCTGCAGTAGATATTTTAGGTTTAATTGTAAAATACTCTTTAAGTATTTTTAACATGGCAGAGAATCAAGACAGTCAGGTTTGTAATGAAAATTTATTAGAAGACATTTTTTATACTTTTGTAATACTACAAAATATCATAGTATTAAAGTTTATAAAGTTTAATAAAATTATTTATGTCTAGTTACTTCAATACCCAGAAAAAATGGTTGCTCTTCTTCATGTATTTTTGCCTGCTGGTCAAGTAAGTGGTTTTCTAATGTATAAAACATATTTTCAGCAATTCAGAAACATTAAATATTATTTAAATTTATTTTAGCTACTGTTTCTCAATCATCGACTGATAAAACAACTGGAGAGAGATTTAAATAAAATTTTATCTGATAAAAAGTGAAAAAAAATTAATTTTAATTATTTTAGCATTAGACAATATACGAACACGAATATCTTAATGTAAACTAGGAAAATATTTGAAATTATAGAATATTTTACAAAATATTTGAAATTATAAAATATTTTACATTATAGTTACAATCTTTTGGTGAATCTTTTTTTGCTATATACTGTTTTAAAAATTATTTTGTACATGTCTTATTTTAAGTGCATTTTTGTAAACTGTAATAATTTTATATTTAAATAGTAATTTTTTTTAATATAAAATTTTCATTTCTTAATATGTTATTAATTATAGTAGAAATGGTATGTTTAAAACTATTTCTTTTTTTATTTTTATTTTTCTAAAGTTTAGAGAAAGTCTTTTTAGTTATTCATATTATATATCATATTATATTATATATATATTACATATAGTGACTCTATTCTTAATACTGTTCAGTTTTAACTTTTTTTAAAACTTAGTTCTGTTTAGCAAAATATATACAGTTAGATACATCAAATTGTATTTAACTATATACGTGCTTGCTTAGTTTTACTTGATTAATACTTTTAATAGATTATATTTGTGCTTACTTTTACTTGATTGTTTTAAGATTAAAAGCATTTAATTTTAAATTTTGTGTTTAATTGATAACTCATAGAATGAATTCAAATTAGGTGTGAACTTTTTTAATAGTCGTTAAGCCAGCATGTTTTTCCTTTGACAATAGTTATTGCATTTATGTATGTAGGTATATATATATGTGTGTGTGTATATATATATATATATATATATATATATATATATATATATATATATATATATAGCATGTTTTTCCTTTGACAATAGTTATTGTATTTATATACAAGCCTTCCCATGAAAGGCGTGCGGTTTTTCGTCTCGTATGACCACATGCGATTATAATATTTTAGAAAATGTGAACACGGCCGTTTGCAAGTTTTATGATAATGCTGAAAAAGTTTCAAAAACAAAAAAACAAAACTAACAAAATAAAAAGAGATTGAAATAGAAAAAAATGAAAACAAATTCATAATTAAAATAATTTGTGTACTGTTTTTATTTTTGTTTCTTTAGAGTTACATTCAGCAACAAAATTAGAATAGGCAAAGCAAAAAAAAAAAACAGTTTGAAGTCGACAATAAAAAGAATGATTTTACTTCTCTTAATTTTTTTTAAGAGGCAAAAATACAAATTGCAATGTGTTTGTAAAATTTATTTGTATAATTTTAATGTAACAAGGGTTGAATTAAACGAATGCAAAACGCAAAATCTGGAAAAATATCTCGTATCCAAAATTTTAGTTTATACAAAACCGTGTTCCTTGTTTTTAAGGGGAGAATCAACTTAAATTTGTTAGCAAAAAAATAAAAAATAATACAATAAACTTACGATTACAAAAGTAATAACACTCTAGACACTAACTGCATTACAAAAGTAATAACACTATAATAGTGTTATTACTTTTATAACACACTTATAACTTTTAAAATTAATTCTTTGTTCAAGCAACATTAGTATTCATAAATTTTAATTGAAGTAGAAAAATATCTAGAAGAATAAAGTGGATGTTCAAATAATATTAAAACTAAAGTAACTTATAAAAACGTGACAAACAACTTTATGAAAATGTATCGTATTAAAAGTTTAGCATTATGAAAAATGTTACTAATGGACCATAAAAACGCGCGTTAATTTTAAAATTAACCAATAAAATTTTTTTATTGGTTGATTTTAAAATTAATGCGCGTTTTTACGTAATGTTTTTCATAATGCTATACTTTTTATAAAATACATTTTTATAACGTTGTTTAAGTGATATGTGTAAGTTCCTGAAATTTTTAATAATATTTGAATATCTGCTTTATTTTTTCTAGATGCTTTTCTACTTTAATAAATGTTTGGAATTAATAATGTTGTTTGAACAAAAAATGAACTTTAAAAGTAATAAGTGCTTTATAAATGTAATAACACTATTATAGTTTTATTACTTTTATAATGCAGTTAGTGACTAAAGTGTTATTACTTTTGTAGTCGTAAGTTTATTGTTTTTGTTTTGTTTTTTGTAACTTTCTCGCTAGCAAACTTTTAATAATTTGCTCCTTATAATTAAAGTAGACAGCTTTGCATGAACTAAAATTTTAAAGACCTAATATTTTACCAGAGTTTGCAAATCGCAATCGTATAATTTAACTCTTGATATAAACTTGTTACATTATAATTATACAAATATATTTTACAAAAAGATGACGATACATATTTTCTCTTTCCTCTCTAAAAGAAAAAAAACATTAAATATGGGAAAGTCATTCTTTTTAAAGCCTAAAACCTTTTTTTTTTTTTTTTTTTTTTAGCTTTGACTTAATTTTGTTGCCTATAATAATAATCACTAAGAAAAAACAAAAATAAAAAGAACACACAAATTGTTTAAACTATTATTATTGTTTTCTATTTAAATTTACTTTAATTTCTTATGTAGTTATTAAATTTAAAACAATTTTTCAGTAATGCATATAATATAACTTGCTCCAATGGCCGTTATAACGTTCTCTAACTTGAAAAATGTTATTGTGGTCATACAAGATGAAAAACCGCACACTTTTCCTTAAAAGGCTTGTATATTTGTATGTATGTTTGTGTATATATATATATATATATATATATATATATATATATATATATATATATATATATATATATATATATATATATATATGTATATATATATATATATATATATATATATATATATATATATATATATATATATATATATATATATATATATATATATATATATATGTATATATATATATATATATGTATATATATATATATATATATATATATATATATATATATGTATGTATATATATATATATATATATATATATATATATATATATATATGTATGTATGTATGTATGTATGTATGTATGTATGTATGTATGTATGTATGTATGTATGTATGTATGTATGTATGTATGTATGTATGTATGTATGTATGTATGTATATAAAATGCATTCATATTTACAATAAATATTAAAAAATTTAAAGTAAACTATGTCAAAAATACCAAGAAAAAGATTTTCTTATGGGCTTACCAAACAAAAAAAGAAGGAAATTTCTTCTTGGAGAGATATTACCAGAAAGAGTTTAACAACATCTAAAAATAATGAATCAATTACTAGTCCATTTAAAAATGTTCAGTTGCTAGAAAGTTCAGTTAGTTTTGATAACGATCCTTTTGCATATGACGAAGAAGATGATCAACATTCTATTAATGATTCTACTGAAATTTCCTCAGACAAAGCAACACCTAGAAAGTATTCCCCGAAAAAAGAAATAAAACAAAATGCAATAAAAAATGCAACTTCAGAAAAGTTAAAATCATCTAGAGTACTTTCTTGTGAAAGTAATATTATCTCCCCAAAAAAAACCAAAATTAAAGCTAAATCTCCTAAAAAAAATATGTTACTCAACAAACCAAAAAATCAGAAATATCAAGTGACAAATAAAAAATGCGATGTTACTTATATAAATGAGTTTGATATTTTAGTTGTTAATGAAAAACCAAAAAGTCCAAGACTAAAAAATCATAATAAAACACAAACAAGTATAAAAAGAAAAAGACGATCAAAAGAGAGTCCTAAAGAAGAAAGTGATGATTTTGTTGACTTTCAAGTATTAGATACAAAAACAAATCCTTTAGATATTTCTGAAAAGGATTTTGCCTTGAACCAACAACATTCAGTTGAAACTATTATTAAAAAAAACATATTTAGTGAAAGTATAGACGACCATGTATGTATGGATCATGATAGATTACAAGATATAAATTGTTCATTGTCTACTTTTCAAGACTCGACACAAGAAAAATTTCAAGAAAGTTCATCACAAGAAACATCAGCATGTGAAACATCATCACAAGAAGTGTCATCTCAAGAAACTTCACAAAACAAAAAACCAAGTTCTCTTTTTTCATATTACAATGATTTAAAGAAAGACAAACACAAGAGAAAAAATATTTTTGCTAATTCAAATAAATTTCATGTAAATAAAGATGACAATAATTTTGATGATTATGTCGAATCTTCCATAACAACAGTTCAAAAATTAGATACATTTAAGATTTCAGCTTCACCTGAAAAAAAGCGCCTTATTGAAAATAAAACCGAAGGTTTGATTTCTGATAAACAAGTTACTGACAAAACAAATGAAAATAAGGTGATATATTTTTTAAGAAACTATGTTAAAATTTTTTTTTTAACTTAATTGTATTTATAATTTATAGTATTTGCTATTGATTTTTATTTTTTATTAGGTAAGTTTTTTTTTTTTTCTATTATAATAATATATTTTTGTTTTGTTTATTTTATTAAGTAGGACACTGGTATGTACAATAAGAAAAGAAAAAAAAAAAAATCTTGATTCTCATAAAAAGTCCTTTTGAAATGTTATTGGTAATAAAATTAATATGTTTTGTGGAAGTTGTTTTCAAAATAGTTCTAATTACATAAGTGGATTAAATACACAAGAGACTGGAATTAACACTAAATTATTGTCTTTGACTGGACTAACTACATAAATAATTTGACTTGAATAACTACCTGAATGACAAGTTTACCTAAACGGTTGGCATGAATAATTATATGAGTACCTGAACAAACTACACGATTGACTATAAATTGTTCAATTAAATTTTTTTTTTTTTTTTTGAAACATTTAAAAGTTTTAATTTTATGCATAACTTTTTTTTAGGATCATTAAAATATCTTAAAAGTAATTTTCATTATCATTTCATCATAGTTCTTTTTATCAATTTGCAATGCTAAAAATTTAGTTTTTAATTTGGTTAAGTACTTTTTTACAGCGCAAAATAATCGATAAGAGAAGGAGATTTTCAGCTTTGGTATTATTTTGAAATTTTTAATTATTTTATTTTATGTTGATAACTTTTATTTCAATTTTGGTGTCTGTAATTTATATTGTCTATCAATACATTTATATATATATATATATATATATATATATATATATATATATATATATATATATATATATATATATATATATATATATATATATATATATATATATTGCAGGGCCCTGCAAATCGGCAGTTTTTGTTTCAAATCAAATCTCGAATCAAAGCAGGTCTTGATTCGCGATTCAAATTACATTTTGAATCAACATTTTGAAGTCTAACTTAAAGCATTTTTAATTTAATAATGCAGTTTTTTCTTTAATTTCCGAAAGTTTACACTGTTAGACTTCCGCCCTTTTAACATTTACTGATTCAATTATCCTTCTTTAATAGTTCGGTCACTCAACTATCAAAGATTTGCTCAAGAACAAGACAAGAAACTACTTTGAATCTAATAAAAATAGTGTTACACCTCATTTTCAAAAAAAAAAAAAAAAAAAATTGCTTTTTTGCAAGTAATAGAGAAAATCATATTTTAATCTTGAACGAATAAATCACTAGAACTTAATCACTGTACACAATGAAACAAAAATAAAAACTGTACACAATGAAACAATATTCAAAAATTAGAAACTTAAGTTTGACAAGTATTTCTGTGTTCCTGCAATGTCAGCTCCTGTCGAGTGAATTGCTTTTGTACGAGTGAATTGACAATGTGTCCCCATAGAGCTTGTATGTTTGATTTGCTGCTTGAAACTTTAGTGTTTTTTAAATGTAATAAAGACTTATAGGCTATATAGTGATATTTAATGCTTTTGACATTTTTTGACAATTAATAGTAACATCTAATATGAACATATCAACATATTTTTAATTAAAAGATGTTAATATTAGTTGTTAGCATTAAGCACAAAAATAAATAAAAATGAAGAATTAAAAGTTTAAATTATTTTTATGTATTTTTGTTTTTGGCTTTCATATATCTCTGAATATATTTTTTTATTGACTTGTTGAATTCTGCGCATAACCTTGGCCTACTATCACAACACAGAGTTTTATTGTCACAGCACTTGCTACCTGCATTTTTGTCTATAATTGACCTTAACCTTAAAAGTCTTTGGGCTAGTTTGCGTAGACCTTGGCTGTAAAATTATTGTTCTCTGCCTTGACCTTGAAACTCATGGCATTGAAACTTTTGGCCTAGGAACATGTGGCCTTGACCATGCTTTTGGCCTTGTTAATAACTCTGTGTTTATATATTTATATATAAACAAAACAAACTACAATAAATAATTAAGTTTAGTGTGGTAAGCTTCAAAACAAATATCTGGGTGAAGCCCTGGTTCAGATAGGCAAAATCGACAAGCATATGTAGTTTTCAGCGGTTGACATTTAGGTGATAGTTTTCCTCTTGCATAATACACTCTACATCTTTTGGTTGGTCTTTTATCTGTTGCATCTGGAGAAGCTACTTTTAGTGAAGGGAAGTTTCTGCCAGTAAGACGAGACATTGTAGTAGTGGTGTAGCGGGTGGAAATTGCAGTAGTGGTGTAGCTGTAGAGCGCTTGCTTTATAAGCGAGAGGTTCCGAGTTTGATTTTCACCACCTCCCTGGTAGTACCCCGCTCAACTTGTTTCTCCGTGCTGCGGCCTTGTTTGTCAAGGTTCTTTTTTCAGAGTTATAGAGTTTAGAGAGGCTTATAATCACAATTAAGTAGCCTCCTCATCTCTAGTGGTGAATTAACATAAAAGATATATATCTGTGTGTTTTTTTTTATTTATAATATATTCATATGTTTATAATTAGACTATTCTTGTAACATTTTAAAGGAAAATTTTTTATAGGAGTATGTCATTTTAAAAAATGCCATAATTTGCTTAACCTTTTCACTCCCGAGCTATATTACCGCTATATTCCCAGAGTCGAAATTCTTGTTTCTGACTCAAACACTTTAAAACCTTGCAGTGACTAAAATAATGAGCTAATCTCTGTGAAACTCGGCCCCTTTTTTACTAACATATTGATTGAACATAATAATTAAAAAAAAATTACTTATCACACTGATGTCACACGTGTGAAACTCGGCCCCTTTTTTACTAACATATTGATTGAACATAATAATTAAAAAAAAATTACTTATCACACAGATGTCACACGACTTAAAAAATGGCTTTCAACATAATTCAAAATTTTTCTTTTTTGCAGTAAAATCCAAAAATAAACCAAATAATTATGTTATAAACAAATAAAACTCATTTAAAAACAGTTTGGCAATCACTTAACTAGTTTCTAGCAAAAAAAATAAAAGCTTATCATAAAAACTCTAGAAAAAGGAGAGATTCTAAAAATATGAGATTTTTTTTTAATTTGTTATTTTTAAGATGTTTTTATTATATTTGTAGCATGAGACAAAAAATAAATTATAAGATAAAAAATTAAGTCTATCTATATAAACAAAACAAACTACAATAAATAATTAAGTTTAGTGTGGTAAGCTTCAAAACAAATATCTGGGTGAAGCCCTGGTTCAAATAGGCAAAATCGACAAACATATGTAGTTTTCAGCGGTTGACATTTAGGTGATAGTTTTCCTCTTGCATAATACACTCTACATCTTTTGGTTGGTCTTTTATCTGTTGCATCTGGAGAAGCTACTTTCAGTGAAGGGAAGTTTCTGCCAGTAAGACGAGACATTGTATCATCTAATATTTGGTTGTTTGGTATAGCTGGATTTATTAGTACTAAAGATGAAATTGTGTCATGCAAGAAATCTTGGAACATTATTTTAGATTTTACAGTTTCATGTAGGAAAACTTTATGTGCATTTAATATTACCTGTGAAATTATTCTAAATGCTAATTTTTTGTACCACTTATAAGTTTTACGAAATGTGTGTAAACTATGTAACTGTTGATCAACTCTGTCAACCCCTCCAATGTGACTATTATATGATCGTAATACTGATGGTTTGTATATTGCAGAATCATTTGCATAGGTTTTACCAGTGTCAATCATTTTTGCTGAATGGCAAGTTGACAACATATATACAATCTTTTGCTTATTTCCTGACTTATTTTTGACAGCTTGATATTTACATGCAATAACACGTGAATCAACTGTGGAGCAATAGAATACAGTCTCTCCTTGTTCTAATGAAAACTCAGTAATTTCTTTACAGTACTTTTTTCTATTTGATTTAACTGTTCCACAAAGGTGTGTATTTCTTTCTAAAAGAAAAGTTGCTAATGAAGGACTTGTGTAGTAGTTATCTGTAAACAGTATATGTCCTTTGTCTAAAAATGGTTCCATCAGTGCAGCTGGTATTCACTCAGTACTGGGCATATCCTCATTTCCATTTACATAAAACATACCTTTACCACAATATACCAAAAAATCTAGTGTTATTCCACTTGATGTGGTCAATTCATAAAGTTTTATGCCAAAACGTGCTCTTTTTGTACGAATATATTGCTTAAAATGCAACTGTCCCTTAAAGCATACGTAAGTGATTCGTCAACTCTAAGATTTTGTCCGGGGTAGAATACATTTTTACATCGGTCTCTAATTATTTCTATAAATGGTCATACTTTGTGTAATCGATCACGGTTTTCATCATTTACATCATAATTTGGATCATTGTTATTGTTGAAGTGTAAAAACTTTAAAATCATTTGAAAACGAGTGCGTGACATTACTTTAGAAAATATTGGAGTGCTAAATAACGTAGATGATGTAGACCAATACATATGAATATTAGGTTTATATATAACTCCCATAAGCAAAACAAGAGCCAGATACTTTTTTATTTCTAAAACAGTGACTAGTTCCCAAATTCCTACATAATTGTTACTGGCTTTAACTGGATTCATATCTAGAAAATCTTGAGCATAACGATTTGTTTCAACAACTATGAGTTAATTAGTTTATAATATTAGGTGTCAGATATAGGTCAACAAAATCTAAAGGAGAAGGATTTTCTTGCAATATTCTTGCTCTAAGTCCCTCTACTTCCAAGAAAGGTATAATTGGATCAGCAGCATTATCAATTTGAACATGCTCCCATGTTGATTTTGAATCAATTCCTTGTTGATTAATTTTTGCAACTCTAGCATTGGGTTTTCCTTTTTTACCACATGACCTTCTTCTACAACCTCTATTGTTGTTACCATTTTTTTTCTATCTATGTTAGTAACTTGAAATATTTGATTTTTATTATTGACACTGTTTTTTCGTATTCCACAGCGAACTTTTAATCCTTTTAGTTCTACTACGCCATTTTTTCTGTTGGAACAAAATAATTGATTAGGAAAAAGGGTCTCGTTGTTCTCTTTAGGGTCTTTTTCCTCACTATTATTTTCTTCAGTTTCTTCTTTCTCCTCTTTATCGATATCCATTTTATAAACCTGCGTTATTTGACAAAAGTCTGGTAAGGAAGAGCAGTTTTCGTTCTGAAAATCATCAGGTAAAGGTAAATTAGGAGCTACAATAAATTCTATATCTTCCTCTTCATATTCCCAATCTGTTTCAGGTTCGCTTTCATCGGCTGTTAACTCACCAAGGTCCATATCATCGCTGCTATCATCTTTAGTTTTAATTACTGTCTTAAATTATTTTTTGTTTTATTTGTTTTATTGCAATCTTTGTTATATTTGTTTTATTGCAATAAAATCACTTCATTGTCATATAAAAATTTTACTAGAAACTTTTATAGTTATAAAGGTTTTGATCAAAGAAAAAAATGTTTTCAAGTTTTTATCAGTATAATACTATAAAGCCTATCTTTTATTAAGAAATATTCATGATTTTAAATTTTGGAATGTTTATATATGTAAATCTTTAGATTTCTTGTAAATATTGCTACTGATATCTGTTTTGATAACTTTTCATCTTTCTAGCCAACTGATGTCACCACTGAAACAACTAATGATTTTATTGAAGAGTATACTGATAAAGAACAAGACTGTTTACCGCATATTTTACCTGAAACTACAATGTTTAGTTTTCACAGACCTGAAAATAATCCAGTGAGAGTACCCCGAAAATATAAACATGTATGCATATAATTTTCGCTGTATCGTTTATTTTATATTTTTATATAGTTTATATTTTTTTCTTATAATAATTTCACTAATAAGTTTTAGACTTAAATGCTTTGGTTTTTATGTTGCTGCTTCAGTGCTCTTTATACTACTTTTTTATACTATTATACTAGCAGAGCTTTTTATACTACCTTCTACTATTATAATGATGTTAATGGACTTATTCTTTCGAGTAAAAGTGCAATATATTAAATATTATTTACAATCAATTAAAACTATTTTTTAGTTGTATGTTGTTGTCAAGAATGCCAAGCCTGCTCACGAATGCTTTGAAGATGGACAAAACCAACAGGTAAACAAAATTTTTACCTTCTAATAATACAATTTATTATACCATTAATAATCAATTTCTCTCAAAATTAATAATTAGCTCTATAGAAGTGCCCTCCTTGCCTTTGTAAATGGAAAAATAGTTGTTATTATTACCATTAATATTTTTTATCAGCTTCAAGATGATGTCGAGTATTTGTTAGATGGTTTAAAACCTTCACATGCAATATCTACTCGATGTTTGAGTGCTCTGGATCTTGCGCTAAAGACAACTGCATCAGGATTTCGAATGTATTTAAAAGCCCATGGAGTTATTCCAAAAGTGTTTAGTCTTTTAGAAGATGCATTAGAAGATGAGGTAAATTTTATATATCTTATTTCTTTAATGACCATAAAAAATAATAAAAAAGTCTAGTAGTATTGGCAATCCAATATTGGTAGTATCACTACCTGAATACTTGAATAACCAGACTTTTGATACTAAAATACAGGTATTTATCATTTTCAATACTTTTATTTTCAAAGTATTCAAATTTTTTACTTCAGGTTATTATTATACTACTGTTTTTAAATATCTTTGTTGTAAAAACTTTCGGAATATATCAAATAAAACTTTTGAAAAGTTTTATTTGATATTACAAGTAATAACATTTATATTGCAGAATATCTTTATATTATTTTATTTTGAACTATTAAAGTCTAAATTTATGTTTAAAAATTTCAAAATACAAAAATTAAATTCAAGTTTAGAAGTGTTCAACAAAAAGGTTTTTTATGATTAGCTGATGTAATAAAAATGTGAGATTTTTTACAAGTGAAAAAAAGTTTTTTATTTTTTAAAGTGCTTAAAATATTCTTTATCTTCTAATTCAGAATCAAAGGTAGCATTTATGTTTTGCAATTATGTCCTCAGTTGGTGTGATGTCACAACTCAAGAGCCTTAAATGTCTCAAATATTTTCTTTATGCTGATTTAAGTTAATTTAGATTAAATATGTAAAATTATATAACATGTTTTATAAACTCTTTTTTTTTTATTCTTAAAAATCAATGGTAAAATGTGTTTTTAGTTTAAAGTTCAATCAAGCCAGAAACTTTCCTTGGTCAATAAACTTGTGTTGTAGACTTTATTTTGACACATTTTATTTTTCTTTAGCAATTGGCCTTGTGTACAGCTGCTTTTATGTATACACTTGCAAAAGATCGATCAACAATTGATTTCAACAAAGATAATATAGGTAATTATTTTTTTGTGACTTACTGGGGCTAATATTTTATAATAATGTTATTATTTTTAATTGAATAATTTATTCAGTTTTAAATTTTTATAGAAGCCGATAA